GGGGGGATTTGAGGGGCGTTAGGGCGAGTTTGGGGGGCTTAGGGGGAATTTGGGCAACTTTAGGGCGAGTTTGGGGAAGTTTAGGGCGAGTTTGGGGCAGTTCAGAATGAATTTGGAGTTTAGGACGAGTTTGGGGGGGGGTTTAAGGGGGAATTTGGGGAAGTTTAGGGCGAATTTGGAGGAGTTTAGGGCAAATTTTGGGAAGTTTAGGGCGAGTTTGGGGAAGTTTAAGGCGAGTTTGGGGCAGTTCAGGATGAATTTGGAGGAGTTTAGGGCGAGTTTGGGGGGGGTTAGGGCGAATTTGGGGAAGTTTAGGGCGAGTTTGGAGGAGTTTAGGGCGAGTTTGTGGGGGTTTAGGGTGCGTTTGGGGGGGTTAGGGGGAATTTGGGGGTTTTAGGACTAATTTGGAGAAGTTGAGGGCAGATTTGAGGGGGTTCAGGGCCATTTTCAGGGGGATCGGAGCGAGCCTGGGCAAAGTTTAGGGCGAATTTTCGAAGCTTAGGGCGAGTTTGGGGGAAATTTTCGAAGTTTGAAGGAAATTTTGGAGGAAGTGTGGGGCAAAGTTCCGAAGTTTTGGGCGAGTTCAGGGGGGTTTAGGCGTGGCTGGAAGCGACTCCTGATATCTACAGGATGACCCGAACCACCCCAAAACCTCCAAATCCCGGTTGAAACCCCCCAAAACCATGCGAGCCATACTCACAGCGGGCGGATAAAGAACGCGGCGGTGGCGCCGCCGAGGCCGGGAGGGGCCGGGGGGCGGCGGCAGCGGTTCGAAGGTGAAGTGCCGAGGTGGGGACGGTGCCGCCGCTCCGGGGACACCCTCGGCGTGTCCCCAGGCCCGGCCCGGGCACCGCGCGGTGGCCGCGACCGCCGCCACCACCACGGACATCGCGAGGGACTCGCCGGGACTCGAACCCGCGGCCTCCGGGTTATAAGGGCGGGCGGCGGCCACGCCCACGGCGCGGTGTGATTGGCTGAGACGGGGAGGGGGCGTGGCTTGTGCGGAGGCCACGCCCCGCGGGGGAATTCCCGCGCTTTGAGTCACGGGGGTCGCGTCATTCCCGGGAAAAAAAAAAAAGTGGGAAAAGAGGGGGAAAACCCGGGAATTTTTCGGGGGAAAAGGCGGGAATTTTTTGGGAGGAATCGGGGATTTTATGGGGAGAAAAAGGGGAATTTTTGCGGGGGATAATTGGGAGGTTTCGTGGGGAAAATGGGAATTTTTTCGGGGGAAATGGGAATTTTTTTGGGAAAAAAAGTGACTTTTTATGGAGAAAATAATGAATTTTTTGGGGAGAAAATGGTGAGGTTTTGGGGTTAAAAATCGGGAATTTTTGGGGGAAATCAGGAATTTTATAGGGAGAAAAAGGGGAATTTTTGGGGGGTAATTGGGAGGTTTTGGGGAAAAAATGGGAATTTTGGGGGGAAAATATATATTTTTTTGGGGAAAAACCCGAATTTTTTTGGGAGAGAAAACAGTGAGGTTGCGGGGAAAAAATTGGGGGGAAATCGGGAATTTTTCTGGGGAAAGAACCTGGAATTTGGGGGAGGGGGAAAGAAGGAATTCCGGGGTGGGGGGAAGAGGGAAATTTTGGGGAGAAAAGTTGGGAATTTTTTGGGAAAACCCCGGGAATTTTACGGGGTAAAATTGGGAATTTTTTTGGGGAAAATGTGGATTTTGTCAGGCAAGAATTGGGATTTTTTGGGAGAGAAATCGGGAATTTTATGGGGAAAAAAAGGGAATATTTTGGGGGGGGAGAATTGGGAGTATTTGGGGAGGAAAGGAAGAATTCATTTAAATAAATTTAAATGCCAAATCTTGATTCATATTTATTGGAAGGAAAGAAATGCACAGGAGTGAGGAATTTGTATTTAAAGATGGGAAATCGTCCCCAAAAGATGAAAAAAACCTTGAAAAAGGAAAAAAAATATTAAAAAAGGCTCCAAAAAGAATAAAAAATCCTTTAAAAGCTCCAAAAAACAACATCAAAAAAATTTTAAAAAAAATTAAATCACTAAAAAAAAAGTCCCAAAAAAATCACAAATACTCCCCAAAAGAGGCTCCAGAATTCCCAAAAAACTCCAAAAAAGCCCCAAAATTCCGTTTTTGCTCCGGATTTTGTCCCTCAGCGGCCTCGACCTGCAGGGGGAGGAGAGAGACACCCCAAAATTCCCAAATTCCATCCCGAAATTCCCAAATTCCATCCCGAAATTCCCAAATTCCTCCCCGAATTTCCCCTTTTCCCCCCGCTCTCTGTCGGGCTCCGTTCCCGGGGTCGTTCCCGTGAGAATTTCGGGAATTGCCCAAATTTTGGGAATTTTGCCCCAATTTTCTGCCTCCGGCTCTTACGTGGGGCGACCACGGGAGGCGCCCACGCCTTTGGGGGAGGGACCTGAAACATTCCCAAAATATCCCCAAAAATTCCCAAAATATCTCCAAAAATATTCCCAAAATATCCCCAAAAATTCCCAAAATATCTCCAAAAATATTCCCAAAATATCCCCAAAAATTCCCAAAATATCTCCAAAAAACTCCCTGAAATTTCATTCCCCAAATCCCAAGTTTTTCCCAAATTCCGGGATTTTTTTCCCCGAAATTCCAAGTTTTTCCCCCCAAATTCCATTTTTTCCCCTCAGAATTTTTGCCCAAATTTCCATTTTCCCCCCGAAAATCCCGTTTTTTTCCCCCCAAATTCATGCATTTTATTCCCAAAATTTCCATTTGCCCCTCAAATTCCAGGATTCCCAAAATTTCCATTTTCCCCCCAAATTTCCATTTTTCCCCCCCAAATTCCCCAATTTTCCCCCCATAATTTCAGGTTTTTCCGAAATTTCTGCATTTCCCCCCCAAAATTCCCTTTTTTTTTCCCCAAAAATCCCCATTTTTCCCCCAATTTCCTGGTTTTTCCCTCACCTGGGCTCTGCTCCGGGGCTTCGTCCGGAGGGACCCGGCTCGTCCATGGCGGATTTTCCATAGGGGATTTTCCATAGGGAATTTGGGATTTCCATAGGGGGATTTGGGATTTTCCATAGGGGATTTTCCATAGGGAATTTGGCATTTTCCATAGGGGGATTTGGGATTTTCCATGGGGGGATTTGGGATTTCCATAGGGGGATTTGGGATTTCCATAGGGGGATTTGGGATTTTCCATAGGGGATTTTCCATAGGGAATTTGGTATTTTCCATAGGGAATTTGGCATTTTCCATAGGGGGATTTGGGATTTTCCATAGGGGAATTTGGCATTTTCCATAGGGGGATTTGCGATTTTCCATAGGGGATTTTCCATAGGGAATTTGGGATTTTCCATAGGGGGATTTGGGATGCCTTACAGGATCCCCTATAGGATCCATAGGATCTGGGGATGGTGTGCCGGGGCCGTGGCGGATCCCCTATAGGATCCATAGGATCCCGGGTCGGTGTGTCGGGGCCGGCGTGTGCCGGGGCCGTGCCGGATCCCCTATAGGATCCATAGGATCCCCTATAGGATCCATAGGATCCCGGAACGGTGTGTCGGGGCCGTGCTGGATCCCCTATAGGATCCATAGGATCCCCTATAGGATCCATAGGATCTGGGGATGGCGTGCCGGGGCCGTGCCGGATCCCCTATAGGATCCATAGGATCCCCTATAGGATCCATAGGATCCCGGGACGGTGTGTCGGGGCCGGCGTGTGCCGGGGCCGTGCCGGATCCCGGGGCAGCCCCAGGGCGGGGTCCCCTATAGGATCCATACGGCCCCGGCCGTAGGTTGGGCCCGGCCTTGCTCTGGCCCCGGCCCCCGGGGGCGGCGCACGGGACAGCGCCCCCCGGCGGGGCCTGGGCGGCGCCTATGGATCCCCTATGGATCCCCTATAGGTTCCCCATAGGTCAAGTGTGGATCCCCCATGGATCCTCCATAGAATCCCCCATGGATCCTCCAAAAATCCCCTATGGATCCCCCAGGGAATCCCCAATGGATCCCCTCTAAATCCCCTATGGATTGCCCATAAATCCCCTATGGATCCCCCGTAAATCCCCTATAGATCCCCCAGGGAATCCCCAATGGATCCCCTATAGAGTCTCCAAAAATCCCCTATGGATCCCCCAGGGAATCCCCGATGGATCCCCTCTAAATCCCCTATGGATCCCCCATAAATCCCCCAAGGAATCCCCCATGGATCCTCCATAGAATCCCCTATAGATCCCCCTGGGAATTCCCGATAGATCCCCCTGGGAATTTCCCATGGATCCCCTATAGATCCCCCAGGGAATCCCCCATGGATCCCCTATAGATCCCCCAGGGAATCCCCCATAGATCCCCCTGGGAATCCCCTATAGATCCCCCAGGGAATCCCCCAGGGAATCTCCCATGGATCCCCTATAGATCCCCCAGGGAATCCCCCAGGGAATCCCCCATAGATCCCCTATAGATCCCTCAGGGAATCCCCCACAGATCCCCCTGGGAATCCCCCATGGATCCCCTATAGATCCCCCAGGGAATCCCCCATGGATCCCCTATAGATCCCCCAGGGAATCCCCCATGGATCCCCCCAAAGGAGCCCCAGGCAGGGCTGGGCGGCACCTACAGACCCCAAATGTCCCCTATTGACCCCACAGAGACCCCAAAATCCCTCCCCAAATCCCCCATAGACCCCACAGGTCCCATAGAGGGCCAAACCCCCCCAAAAATCCCCTATAGACTCCACAGGTCCCATATAGGGCCCAAATCCCCCCCAAAAATCCCCTATAGACTCCATAGGTCCCATATAGGGCCCAAATGCCCCCCAAAAATCCCCTATAGATTCCAAACATCCCCTACAGACCCTCAAATCCTCCCCACAGGTCCCATATAGGGCCAAATCCCCCCAAAAATCCCCTATAGACTCCATAGGTCCCATATAGGGCCAAATCCCCCCAAAAATCCCCTATAGACCCCACAGGTCCCATAGAGGGCCAAATCCCCCCAAAAAATCCCCTATAGACCCCAAAAATGCCCCCCATAGGTCCCATATAGGGCCCAAACCCCCCAAAAAATCCCCTATAGACCCCACAGGTCCCATATAGGGCCCAAATCCCCCCAAAAATCCCCCATAGACCCCACAGGTCCCATATAGGGCCAAACCCCCCCAAAAATCCCCTATAGATTCCAAACATCCCCTACAGACCCTCAAATCCTCCCCACAGGTCCCATATAGGACCCAAATCCCCCCAAAAATCCCCTGCAGACCCCTCGAACCCTCCCCAAATCCCCTATAGCCGCCATAGGTTTCGGATATCCCCAGAAACCACTCCGGATATTCCCCAGATCCCCT